CTGTCAGGGGGTGGGGAGTGGTTGGATGGGGCATGGGAGTCCCAGGGGTCTGTCTGGGGGTGGGGGTGTGGATAAGGGTTGGGGCAGTCAGGGGACAGGTAGGGGGTAGAGTCCTAGGGGGCAAGTTAGGATGGGGGGAGGGTCTCAGGAGGGGGCAGTCAGGGGACAAGAGGCAGGGAGGCTTAGGTAGGGGGTGGAGTCCTGGGGGGCAGTTAGGGGCAGGGGTCCCAGGATGGGGCAGTCAGGGAACAAGGAGTGGGGGGAGGGTTGGGGGTTCTGAGGGGGGAAGTGGGAGGGGCAGGGGCGGGGCTAGGACAGGATGGGGCGGGGCTAGGGCAGGACAGGGGCGGGGCTCCTCCCATCCTCTTTTTTGATTGCTGGATTATGGTAACCCTAAGCAACCTCCCGGGTAGCAAAACGCCCCCTGCAGCATGGCAGCCTGTGCGAAGAGCAGCTGGCCCTCTCAGGGCTGTATTTGATTTGCAAAACAGTTGTAGCTACACGCTGACTGCATGCGCACACCAGCCCCTGCACTGCTAGCGTGCCAGAGCTTGGGTCGCGGCGCTGCCTATACACAACGGAGCGGAGTTTGACGCTCCGCGCGCACCACCCCGGCCACTGCTACCTCCAATGAGCCCTGCCGGGTCACGTGGTCAGCGCTCGTGCCCGGCTGCGGCGGTGCCGGAAGGTGGGCGGGTTCTCCGCTCCTTGCCCCACCCCCACGCGTCCCCCGCCGTCGCCTAGGAGACGAGTCCCACCCCGGCCGGGCTGGGGGAATTCGCTGCAGAGGCGCTGCTGGCGGTTCGAGGTAGGGATGCGCCGCGCGCCAGAGGGGGGCGGCCCCGGCACCAGCCCCAGCGGCCAGGAGCGCAGCGCTGGTGAGTGGGGGGTGGGAGGAGTAGGAAGGGGGCGATGATGGGGGGACAAGGGGTTGGGAGGAGGGGGTAGCAGGGATGGGCTGCTCATCTCCAGATTGACTTGTTTTTGTACCGGGGGGAGGTGCGTTGTGGGGCAAACTAGAGGAGAAATTATTCTCCCTTCTCCACCCCCCCCCCCCAAAGTACATGTGTCTGTCTGTGCCCCGTCCCCATGGTGCAGTTTGGGTTTCGTGCTTTAAGAGAGAGGCGCTGCCTTTTGCTCACTTCCTAACGCAACCTTGAATCTCTCTCCAAACAGCTGGGGCTGTTTGGCTGAAGGGAGAGCCCATCGCATGTCCGAGCAAGGCTCTAAATGCCTCGTTTGAAACACGCCCAGCATCCCCAAAGGCAGAGAATATAAACACTCTTCCCGCAGTTAGCCTTACAATGAGGCTACTCCTTACAAATGAATGAGAGTCTGGAGAGTTCTGTTCACTCTCTTGGCCAGGCAGCTAATAAAGCAGAAGCAACCTCTCATTGTCACAGCCAACTTCTGTAAAAGTAAACAATAAAGAAGTAAATGGAAGGATAATGCACACACAATCCCTCCCCCCCACCATCCCTTAGGCTACAGTCCTTCCTCTCAGGCAAAACCTCTTCCATTGCCAGCTGTTAAGGTCAGTGGGAATTTGGTCTGAGAAATGACTGTAGACTCTAAAAGGAATGATGATAACTTCTGCAAACCATCCTTGTATTGTTTATCAAGGGGCCTGATTCTCCACTTCCTTACTCTACTTCATCCCAGTAGAATTTACTCCTGATTTAGAGTATGTGAGAGGAGAATTGGGGTCATGTTCTAATTCTGTTCAGATAAATATACAACACACTGGGAGCCCGATCTGGCTCCCATTGGCTTCCGAAAGAGTAGGCCCAATCCCCTGATCGTGTTATGGTCCGTAGTAATGAGGAGAGTCTGATTTTATCTGTGAGAACTAAGATAAAACTTCTTAGGAAATCTTGAGTTTCACATCTTGAATGAATGAGAGTTGTGACCTCATTTTCAAGATGAGCATGCAGCTTAATTCTAAAGGGGAAAATGTGTATTATCCTGACTGCCAACAATATAAAAATGAAACAGTGTACCAAACCTCTTTAAAAAGTAAATTAATCTCTTTATTATTATATGTATACAAACAAATATTTACTATGGGCCAGAGCGTAAATCCTTTACTTATGTTGGTAAGGAGTTACTCTCATGAGTACTCCAATAGATGATTAAGGCTGTCAGAATTGAGTCCTAAATGCTCTATGCTCTTCCCTTATGTGATTCAACAGTTTGAATAAGGGGTTCACAATCTGGCTCAATAAATGTATCCACACATCTTAGAACTTGGTTACTATCTGTTTTAATCGTACTGTATACTAAATATTCAGATGTTTTTAAGGGACATAGTCTGTTTTTTAAAATTTGTTTTTAAAAGTATTGCTACTATTTTATTAATAAAGCATTTTTAACAGAAAAGGATCATTTAGGGCCTAATCCTACCAGCTTTACTCATCTTGGGTAGTGCCTTGCTCTATGAATAGTGCCATTGATTTCAATAATCAGTGTAAATAGGGCTGGCAAAATTGGGCTCTAAGTGTTTTATTTATCTGCATGGAGGCTCCTGAGTGGATTGTATTTTCTAGTTTGTTTGTAATTTACTATATTTTAAGGTTTGGGTAGCTTGTCTTTTCTTGCATGCAATGTTGAATCTGTTCCTTGGAATGCATTATAAATGTGCTTCAGGGACTTTGGTGCTTTGCTGTTTACCCATTATATATTTTAAAATTACAAATAGACATTTTAAAATCAATGATGATGGCATTACTGACTGTTACTATTGCTGAAATAAAATAATAAGATGGTAATGCTACAAATAGGAAAATATACTTTCAAAATTGCTCAGATTCTGCAAGTGGAGACAAACTACTAGGGTCTTCCAAGCTATTGCAGTTTGTCCTCCATTTGTCCTCTGTTTTAATCCTTTCTTCACATAAGATTAAGGGATTATTGGCAGTGTGTCACAATGAATAAGAAACAATCTGTTGTTTACAATAGGCTTTCTTCTTTCAACTAAGTAATCACAGTTGATGCTCCCGAATGTGGTGGCATATTTATTTCACAGAGTGGTGTAAGATTCTTGACATTAGGTTGTGCAGAAGAATGTATGGGCCTTATTCTGCTCCGCTAACAGCAAAACTCCCATTGACTTCAAAGGGGTCAGGACAGAAATCTCTGTTGCTACCAACGGTCTGATCCTGCATTTCTTATACTCCCCAATCTCTTGTTTTGGTTCCATAGGGAAGGCAGGATTGGGCTTTAAACTTGCAAAGATAGACATGTGCATAGGGCAAAGAATTAATTCTGCTAGTTTAGCATGTATAGCATTATTTTTGTTTAGTACACATCTGACTTAGTAACAATAATTTAAAATGTTGGAGATCAATTTAAGTAATAAATAGGGATTACTTGTGTCTCTGTTTTCCCTTTGCAGAAAGGAAAGCTTAATAGAGGGCACATCAGTTGGGTATATATTATGTGAAATATGAATCGATGTATACAAATGTCTGTACTGGAATGTTGTGGTCATTATGTAAATCAATATACCATTTTTATTGCAGTTCTAAATTAATTGTGCACATCCAATAAGAGCAACAGTTTTGTATGCAGTTGGGGCTTGATACTTTGATGTGCTGAGCACCCTCACCCAACCTTATTCTGATGTCAGTTTAGGGGTAAGAGTGCTCAGCATTTTGTAGGATCAAATCCTAGATAATCTGTATTTGATAAGTGTACTGTGCATAAGGCAGACTTCAAAATTAAAATAATTTGTTCACATATTAAAAATGCAGTTTATATTCCATAGCACAGTAATGGCTGAAGTGGCATTATTACATCTGAATATGAAAGGGATGGGATGATTGGCATCATTTGACTTCAGCTTCATGCATCTGGCAGTGTGGGCAGAATGAATGAATGACGGTGTGCCAGTAGGAGTATCCTCATGGTAAACAGGACAGTCAACTTTAAAACAAAACCAAAACGTTTTATTTGAATTGTTTTTTACCTAGCTAAGATTACCAAAACAGACAGATATTAGGGAAAAATATTTGTCTTGTAATTTGTTTACTTTTGACATATGACTGCAATTTGTGTATAGTCAGTTTCACCGTTTTCCCTTCCTTGTCAGAAAAGGCCCAGTCCTACAAACATATATGCATGTAAGTAACAATCCTCCTGCAAGAGTCCCAGTATTCTCATGTGTATGAGTTTGCAGGATTTGGGCCTTATCTGACAACGCAGAGAAAATAGTGAAACTGTTTGGGTCTTAGTTAGGAAACAGAACTTTGTGCCTGCACAGAGCCAAATTGAAATTGGGGGTTTATTTTCCCATCCTTGACTCGGCTACAAGGGAGAAGAAACTTTATTTGGAAAGAGATGGACCATAAACAGCTGAGTGAAATTTTTCATTTAAACCATTTTTAGCTAAAAAATGCAGACTCAGGACAACTGCGACATTTCATGAATTCATATAGATTTTAGCAAATTGTTTAGATTGAAACAAAAAGGTGGGGGAAAATGAAAATGTTGAAACAAAATGTTTTGTTTTTTTCCAGGCTTGGTATAAAATACTTGAACTGTCAGTGGGCCAGAGAGAGAGTGGGAATGACTCTCAGGCCCCGTGTCTAGGACACTTACCTGCATAGGCACCAACTCCAGCCCAGAGCCCCCACGGAGAAAAATTAGTGGGTGCTCCGCAACCACCGGCAGCCAAGCTCCCCCCTTCTCGCCTCCTTCCCCCCTTCCCAGCGTGCCACGTTCCCGCTTCTCCCCCTCCCTCCCAGCACTTCCCGTCCCCCACTGCCTAACAGCTGTTTGGCTGTGCTTAGGACTTTCTGGGAGAAAGGGGGAGGAGCGGGGATGCGGCGCGCTCAGGGGAGGAGGCGGAGAAGAGGCAGGGCAGGAACTTGGGGGAAAAGGGGTGAAAGGGGGAGGGAAGGGGTTGCGCGCCCACCGGGCAGAGGAGAAGTCAGCACCTAGGCTTACCTGGGAGGGGTTGGCGTGAACTAAAGTTTCAGTCTCTGCTGCAATGACTACGTAATTATGTATACCAAGTGAAACAGCTTCCACAGGAGAGATACAGAAAGACCCATCCCAGAACAGTAAATATCTTGGTAGTTAAGCCACTCACCTGGGATGTGGGAGACCTGGGATGTGTGTGTATTTTTATATATATATTTTTATATTATATATATATATATATATATATATATAATAAATACACACACACACAAACT